TTCGGGGCCCTCGCAGCCGTTTCCCGGGGGCCCAGTCTGAAGGGCCAGCACAAAGGCCCTGCCTGGCTGCCCCCGCGTCCCGCCACGGCTCTGGCCCGGGCAGCCCTTCGGCCGTGTTCCCCGAGTGCCCGAGCAAGGCCCTTTTCGGGAGCGCACAAACCGCTCTGAACAGGCCTAAACTGAGGGGTGGGGAGTTCGTTCTGACAGTCGGGTTTAAGTTCCCAACAAAGGACATTCTGTTACCGCTGAAACCCGGTTTTCGGCAGCAGGGCTGCTGGAGGCCCTACCACACGCAGGCGCAGACCGGGCAGGGCCAGAGCGCACACCTTCCCGCCGCACCTGCGGGCACCTGCCTGGGCAGCAACGGCAAGGCACGGATTGGAAGCAGATGGGTAAATTTTAACAAAAGCTGTCTGTATCCCAGAGCAAAACAGTCTCAAATAGCAGCGTATCAAAGCCGTTTAGAAGAGAGACCGACACGGTGCTGCGCAAGAGGCTTAGACACAGAACTCTGTCCTTTTGTCGTCACTCTCATGTATTTAGTCTTTGGGACAACGTTTGCATAAAATGCTGAGGCGATGGGACTGACCGACACACTGACAAGACTCATACAGCCTGGACATTTGTTGAACATGACAAGCGCTTAAGGCCTCTAACACTAAGCAGCATCATTTGTCTTCACAGCAGAAATGTACCAGTTCTGTTATAGGGATACTGGAGGAAAGCACAAAACGAGCCAAAGTACATTGTATGCACCTCATTAGTACAGCATTAAGTGCAACTGATACCAAAGTAAAACACATGAAAAAACAGACTGCTCTGCCTGTCTGTTCCATCTCTCGACAATCAGCCAACAAAATCAAAGGCATCTGCCCAGCCACCGGAACAAAACTAAATTACTGATTACATCACTTTTATAATAAGCTGCATTGATTCCTAGCAGGGTAGACATTAAAAAGAGGCATCTTAGTCCTTGCTATGGCTTACGACTGTGGATTCACTGGTGACAGTGGGAAACCTGAATGGAAACATTTATTACATACACTGAATTAAATGAAGTAAATCACAGTTATTTTGTCATCGTTAGAGTGTAGTACCATGGGGAGGCATCTAGTTTTCATTAAGGAAGATGCTTCCTTCTCATTTCAGCAGACAAGGTCACTCTATAAAATGCCCCATGAATTCCGTATGTGTTGTGTCCCAGCCATTTACTCAGCTCGTCTCTAAAACTCTCCTCCCCCACCCAAGTGCCAGTACCCCAGCCTACCTCGGGATTTGAAAGTGAAGCTGTGTTTTTTCTCAGTTGTGCGTCACTGTTAATAATAAAACTTAGCATCTGGAATTTAGCAATTCTTTGAGTGATCTCCAGGCTAGGAGCTAATCCAAAGCAGTCTCCTATAGGTAGCTGGTGCTGGCTCCAGCGCGCTGAGGAGATAAGAAGCGGTACAGCATGTTTGGGTCAGCAGAGTAAGCAGTTTGTCATTCGGGGCACACATTGAGCAGCATATCGAGACGCTGCCATCTTCACCCAACCATCTCTCTTACAAAACCATGTACACTTTAAAGTTGCATGAGTGCACCACCTACATATACATACATATATATATATGCTGATAGAGGTGCTGCACTATAAAAATAGTTGCCTTTTCGGCCCTGCTCTTCCCAAGAGGTGCCGAGAGTCTCCATCTCTCACCGATGCACTGGTAGCAGAGCGTGCCTAACACCTGTGAGCCTGGGAGAAGGATGGCTTTTGCTGTCCTCAGAGGTTTAACGTGCATAAGTTCCCTCCTCAGACCGGTGTGCGCAGCTCCCATCAAATTTGAGCATTTGGCAAATACCAGGCAGCGCAGCCTGAAGGCTCCGTGGGTTTCAGCAGGCTGCAATCTGCTGTCAGGTATATGGTAAATTTTCCATGCAGCAGTAAGAACTGCGTGCTGCACTACAGCAGTGAGGCAGTCGTTTGTATGGCAGTATTTTAACCAGCTATTTCAGAGCTCTTGAAGAGAGATGTGAGTCCTTTCCTTGGAGACGACTACGAGGATATCGTTCCGTCTCCTCAGTAAGGCTGTTTTATGATGTGTGCATCCAAATTACAAGCCCTCAGGAGCCAAACTGGTAATTAGCGCATTTTACAGACTTTCAGGATGATCTAAAACATTTTCGTCTGCACAATAATGCCATGCTTATAAATCCTAGTTCTTCTAACGTAAGCTGAAAAAGGCAGTATATGATTCCCAAAGCACAGGATAACTTTGGGCGTTGCTTATGATTTCATGCTTCGTTTCACAGCTGTTTTGCAGTTTGCCGGTAAGCAGCTAATGGCTAAATTCACATTTCAGTGTAATTCCATGATGCTGCAGCATAGCCCGTAACTCAGCAGTGACTTCAGCTGATCCCCCACAGGGACCTCCACCTACATATAAATGTTACATATTTCTCTCTCTAATACCTGCAGCCATGAACATTACGTACATAAAATGGAACCTCTTTAAATACAATCTCAACATGCCAAAAATAGATTCTGTCATCAAGTTTCTGCCCTGCAATATTCATCTTTTGTTTACAATGTACATATATATTTATACATATATAGGAACATGAAAATACCGTATATAAATATTTACTTTAAATCCCCTATATCTAAGTACCTACGACAGCATCAGTGGAGCAGTTGCTAGGTACCAGAAGGTCCACGCATTCCAGATGCGGTTTCTTGGGTTTTTTTCTTAAGCTGCGGAGATTAATTACTCAGTACATTTAAAGCAGGACAGTGTGGGCTATTTATACCATCTGCAGACCACTCACCCCCTGCCCATCTATATCTGTGCACAGCACGTGCATTCCTTCTTACGGTATGTACTGTATTTAGTTTTACAGAGCAAATATTTTTGTAGCACAAGGGCAATATCTTACAGTGGAATGAAACCAACAGACAAAAGTAAACTCAACTAAAGTCTGCAGTGCCAAAAAAAAAAAAAAAAAAGGTCTAATTGCTCCATGGTGCTTATCATTGCTCTGCAAGTTAGAAACAATGGTCCCAGGCTTCTGAAAATCAAGCTTTAGGTTGGTACTTTTTGTCAGTGTTTTCACCATCAGTACCAAGGTGTAAGAGCCTTGGATTCAGTTACTATATAGCCCTCCTTGCAAAAAGCGCTACAAAAATAAGTCTTAGGCATCATCTCAAAAGAGGCTTCTCTTCTCCGTCTCGTACAGTACAACAGCCCGCTTACCCAACGAGGCTTCTCATCACAGCACATGGCTGCCAGATCAAGGTTTTATGGACCACATATTTGTCCACACCCCCCTACCCTGAGAATTTTGTAAAAATTCTCTGTTCTGCGGTCTTGCCCTGAACTGAAAAATATTTCACACACAGAAATTTGCCAGTCTATAGCAACTGGCTGTTAGCTATTTTCTGCTTTCGGATAATAAAGTGCTCTTGTTTTAATTAGTTACTAGTTACCAGGGAACTCAAAGGAGAAGGTACACTTTCTCTTCCTTCTCCCACTACTGCACTTCCCCAAGAGTTAAACGTGAGATTCATCTAGATCGACGTCAGTCTCCCCAAGCTCCACATGCGTGAAGCTGAAGTGAGTGGCCAGCAAGGGGTTCTCCATCCCGTTGTCCTCACTGATGTGAAGGACAGTGTCCCCGTGCTGCAGCAAGCTGGTGGTCTCGAGGCCAGCGTAGTCCTCGGTGTCAGAGAGCTGTGTGCGGGGGGTGCTTTGTGCTGTTGTTGGCCGGGACTCCAAGCCCTCCTCTTTTTCCTTCTCCTTCTCGGCAGAAAGTGCCTCGCTCTGCAATTGAGGAGAGCCAGTGGTCAGGCTCAGAGAAAGTGGGAGGGAGATGGGGAAAAAAGCAAGGGAACACCTATGAAATATTTTCTCATTGAGAAATAGGTTTTGGCCATAAAGGGCCAGGCACTTGCAGATTATAAATGCCTAAAATTTTTCCCTAACAATGATATATTTTTGCGGGTGAATTGAAGTGGTAGCAATGATCAGAAAGGTGGTCTGATTTCAGTCGTTAACACTTCCTCATTTCATTTTTTTTGTGTATTCTCAAGATGGATGTCTTTCATTTGTTCATGGCGAAGGACATACCCCCCAAAAGACACTAGATATCTGGGCCTATAAAAATGATCTAAGTGGCACTGATGTTTCGAAGAGATGACTGTGATTGTCCCTGCACTATCCTCAGTGGTGTCCAACACAGAAAAATGTTGGACAAGCAATTTCTTTTGAAGTGTGATGCTTTTGGTAAAACAGTCCTGAGGTTTTGAAGGAGTCCATCCTTCGGGATGCACTTCTCAGAGAGCAATCTGTAAAAACCTGCTGATGAAAACTTGCGCTGGTGAGCAGGTCCAGAAGGACTACTGTATATGAAGGGAAGATGGAAAGGGAAGATGCAGGAAATATATTTGCAAATTAAGACTGATTGCATAGCTCTAGAAATTAATCGTTTACAAAAGTAGGAGGTTGGACAGCAAACTCAGCCTAAAGAATAGACAGACAGAAGAGTTTGCTGTCTTCACTCACCCGCCAGCTCTCCTTAGAGTGCTGTAATGCATCAGGCATTTCCTTGTAAATTTGCCCTGCAACTTCGCTGAAGCAGCGGACGGACACACATGATAAAAACCGTCAGTCACGTTACCTGGTCAGTGGTCTGGCTATGGAGATCAGCTACAACGATGGCAGGTGAGGAAGTCAGCACAGGTTTACTCTGCGGTTCTTGCTTGCTGGTTGCTTGGGGGCTGCTGCGGCTGCAGCCCGGCTGTTGGGCTGCTGGAGCCGACAGGTCCCCGGGGGAGGCTGTTGTTGCCTCAGGCTGGGCTTCAGTGAAAGTCACCGACCGCTTCTGCTCCGCTGAAGGGTACAAAGCCCAGAAAATTGAGTATTAAAATGCTAATTTTAATTGAAAATTAAAATTAAAATTTGGGAAGGAAAACACAACAAGAAAAGAAGAGAGAGCATCCCTGGAGTTTTTACAACTAAGAGAGTTCATTATCCATTCCATCTTTATAAGCTGTCTAATTGGAGTCTAATCTAAAAGCCTTTTACCCTAGGCTTCCTCTAAAGCCACAGCAAGAGTCAGGGATCTCCTGAAGACTAGTCACCCCACCCGTCTTTGTCCTGGCTTGGTGAGATAAATGCCACCCATAACATCTTTCCATCCCAGAAGAATATACTGAATTGAATTTCCATGTGAGTTAGGCATTTCTGCCCTCATCTAAAAAAGGAAAACCGAGATGCAAATATAGAAGGGAATTGCCCAAGGTTTTGCAGGAAATCTGAGAAAAGAAAGAGGGCAGCTGACTGCCCCCCATTCCTGCAGACTGAGTCCACTATCCGGGAATAACAGAACAGCACAGGGTGAAGACAGCTAGACTAAAACTTAACAGTAAAACTGATCTCCCTGCTCCTGCTCTTAATTATTGTGCGTCAACTTTTATGTTTCAGACATCTCCAGCACAGCCCTGGCTGAGTGGTTAGAAACTCAGAAAGTTCACAAGTAACCTTTGCTCTTCCAGGTGTTTCCTCCAACGGTAACTGCTCACTTCAGATGGCAGAGAATACAGCCACCTGCTCTGCTTGGCAGTGCTGACTCCTGGAAACACATGGCGTGGACTGGAACAGTCCTATATTCATTTCCATATACAACCCTTAAAGCAGCTTCAAAATTTGTACATCTGGAGGTTTTGGACAAAGCATCCTGAATAGACGACACCTGTCCCCTAAATTCTCCACACCTCTAGGAGACATGATAATTCACTGTCCATGTCCAGTTTCACCATGAAAGCCTTTAGGGAAACCATCAAAGTGTTTTGAGGGGGTGACTTTCTGAGAGGATATCCACTTACTAGGAAAAAGGATAAAAACTGCTGGGACTTCACTTTAATACAGGCTACTAACAACATACTAACTTTTCCTTTAAGCTAAGACAACAACGTAGTATTTTATCCTTTCAAATAGGAACTGCTGGTTCTGGAAATGCAGCACTGCCCTACCGCTAGGTTTTGGTTTTGGCTGGATGCTCCGCCGCGTGGTTGAAAGTCGAGCTCCATGACGGCTACGAGGTTCGGTTTGAGTTTTCTGACGTGACAGCAGCGGTCGTCGAAGCTAAACGTTGGAAGAAAGAGTTAGGCCGTTGTATGTTCACATCTTACACAACTTGTAATTATTATTACAAGTCAACCTTGTAATTATTATTACAAGTAGTATTAAAACTAATTTTACAGTAATACAAGTATTATTAAAAGTAATTATTATTACAATTGTATTAAATTACAACAGCTCCCTCTGTAAGGAGGACAGGTCATCATTGGCTATTCCTCAAGATGTCTATTCACTCTCCTCTGAGCAGATACATCTTTTAGGGTTTTCATGGCTCAGACATCTCCTTCATATGAACTTCTGGGGTTTGTGCCTTTTCAAGTTTCAATACTGAATGTTATGCAATGCAGACTGTGTGACCATCGTTTAATTTAAAAAAAAAAAGCCCGCAGAGGAAAAGATTGCGGAATTCAAAACAAAGTGCACCTCCTCCCTTAGGGATTTGTCAGGCCTCACAGCTGCAACTTGTGCTATGGTTCCTGCTAACTCAACGGACTGCACTGTGTATCACAAATTAGGTAAAAGGAACGTGTCACATCACATCCACAAATCATTTCAAAACAGACGCAGACGAGCAAGACCAAGGCAGCTCAAGCAGAAGGAGAGGAGGTTTGTTCACTCCCCGTGTTCTCACCTGCCGTAAGCCTCTCTTCCGCCCCAGCGGCTGCTGCAGAAGAAGGTTCTGCTGTCCTGGCTCGCTCTGCACGCTTGCCACCCTGTTAGATGTTGACAGCATTAGGCCAAGCACAGAAGCACCCTGCATAACTGGTTAGGTGTCCTGGCAATTGTGACTAAAATAAATAAATAAACCAACCACTAATGGCACGGTCACTTCAAAGAGCAATACTGTCTTTGAAGGATGGGAGGGACGTGTCTGTTGGGTTGTGGCTTCTGGGGCTTAGGAAGGGGTGGGAGGTGGAGTCATGGCATTCAGGACTTGGCCACGCACAGGTAGCATCCAAATATAAATAACTGCAGATTTCAGTTTTCAGTCATTGATTGATGCATCCCACTGAGCAACACTCACTTCTCTGCATCCTTTGCCACATCAATAAAGGCAAGAGTATCAGCTTCCTAGCTCAAAAGCCTTCTTGTTTGCTTTTCCTTTTTCAAGGCAATGTTGTAAAAGCTCTTTTTTTCCCCTCCCAAATAGACTCCACAGCCTCATCCCAATTTTGTCATCTGGTTTTAATTTTCAATTTAAGTCGACAAACAAAAAACAAACACAAAGTGACAAAGGATCCATTCACATAATGGATGCATGAGTTATGTGAACAAGGCCCCACACTCAACACTTGCAGCCTTAAGTCTTTTTGTGGCTAACAAACAAAGACAAGTAAACATCAATTTTTTAATATGTGTGTATATATAAGTATATATAGAAACACAGCTTTTTAGCTTTTAATATCTTGGCACAAAATATCTGAAAATCTGCAGTAAAAGACTCTTTAGCAATGAAACATACTCATTCTACCATTCAACTGACCGTTTAATCTACTTAATATAACAATACCACCCTCCCCTGTTTTTTATCAAAGCACTGTATTCCTCCAAACAGTTAAAAATTGGTCATTTAGCAGATAGCAGTCACAAAACATTTTAGCTGAATGAATTATGTCTGAGAAACATATGGTTACAATAGCAACTAACATTTAAGACGGACTTCTCTTAAATCAGGCAGCTGCTTATTTGGGACAGACTGGAATTCACTGAACCACACGTCCTATTTAAGCAACTTCCAGCTATATCTGGTATGCATTGTTGAAGATTCAGTATTACAATCCCATTTTGCCTTTGGCCTGCATTAATCTAAAGGAAAACAACATTCTCTTCTCTAGACGTTTTCCTTGGATCTCCCTGGAGGAGCTCAGTACCACCAACAGAGTGAAGGTTTATTGCCTGACCTGACCGGAGCGGAGGAAGAAGACAAACCTAAGGACACGGTCAGACAAGACATGGAGGATGTCTCTGGAGAGGCTTAAAAAGGTCTGTCTCCTCAACAGCTCATTCTTCGCTTTGGCAGAAGTTACTGCCCTTAGAAGGTTTGGTGGAACAGAACATGAGAGCTTCCTGGGCTGCTTCAGGCCAAAGTCTGGTTACCTGACCTGAAAGTCCTATCCCTTCCTCCCTTACAAGTTTAAACTAAAGCCAGACTTTGCACTAAACCATATGCGTGTGTTTCTACCAGCTCTACTGGGGAGACAATGGGCAACTTCAAGGAAACACACACCTTAAGATCCCGAAGCTGTTTCTTTTCTGATTAGGCTGTCTGACCACAGCCTAATAATCCTAGGCGTCCCCTCACAATCTTACCACAGCTGCAGTGGTTTGGAAAAAAAAGGAAAAGCTTCTGCAAGCTCAAAGCCAGAACAAACAAGAGATATTTGAGTCCTTTTCTTCCTCAGACAGCTCTTCCAAATGAGATCACCAGTCTCTGGAACACATTTTCCAGCTTTTACGTAGGGTATTGACATGATTTACATACAAAGCATCCTAAACATCATGCAAACACCCGCCTATGAATAAGCAGAGTCCTCAAGGTTACTTCCTGTTAGTAGGACTGTGTTCTTGACCCAGACCGTGACTGCAGCATGTGTGGCTGGTAGGTCCAGAAGCAACACATCAGTCTTTATTAAAGCAAAGAGATTGCGCTTAAATTAGTCTTTGGGTTTGTCACCCAGACTACCTGAAATTACAGCTTGTAGAATTTTCTTAGTCTTCTGTTTCTAGGATTACATAAAAACTTATTCCTGTGAATTTTAAGAAGTTCTAAGAATAGTTACCAGTATGTGAATTAAGTAGGAATTAGCTGGAGAAGGTCTTGAAAAAATAATTTTCTATTGGACTATCTTTTGAGAATACTGTTACAATTTCTGATGAAGGAACAGTAGCCCTTAGTTCTGTGAGAGAGGAGACATAGATGTCTGTAGTGGAAAGACTACAATTATATTCAGTACAAAACACTGTTTATAGTGGTGAAACAAACTCATTTCACATGCATCATGAAAACACTTTGAAAAAGTCATTAGATAAAGGGAGTACATGGACCGCATGAAGGCACAGAGGCTATACATGAGGAAAAAAACCGATTCCCATGAAGTAATCTGTGCACTGAAGACAAACAATAGGTGAGCAAAGGAAGGGCTGGAAATTGTGTATTCCTGCGTGAGTCTGGTATTTTCAGCCTGGCTTATATCATAAGCGAAATGAGTTTAGTGAGCTGGTGGATGTTTATTTCCAGTGCTGAATCATTACACAAATTGGTATAATTTGGGATGACCTTACGAGCTGAAATTGCAGATATCTGTTGCAGGCAAATGGTGGGCCCGGGAGCAGCCAAGTTTGGCAGAGCTGCCTGCGCACAGCCCAGTCCTGCAGCTGCTGCCTTTTTGCCTTCTATCCCCAAATTTTGAAGAAGGGAAGGAAAGAGAGAGAGAATCATAAAGACCACAAATTTCAGATGAGTGACTGAACGTTCACATATAACCCTTCACTCCATGAGGCTTTGCGAGGGTTTCTTTTCACATCAAAGCACAGCACTACTGATCTTGTTTCTGTGAAAATTAGTGTGGCAGGCAGACTGTCGGCTCCGTGCAGCCCTCCCTCCCTCCTGTCTCTCCTTGTTTAACAGACCTGACCAGGAGTATACTGTTTTTCTGGCAGCCCGTGGGACCTAGTCAAGGAACACCGAATCAAATGCCATTTCAGCTGACAGTACGTTTCCCTCCTGTGGCAATGTGATCGGTAAGAAAGGGTTTTCTGCAGTACATAAGCCAGATTTATTTGAGAATAACAAAACGAAAGTTTTTCCTGCCTGACACAAAGATGCTCTGTCACTCTCTGAGTATCTCTGCCAGGGGTTTTATCCTCACAATAATGTTACTCCCATTACGTAGTTAGGGCAGAGACAGGTGAGCACAAGATCAAACCAACCCAACTTTGTGGAAGCATGTTGCCAGCACTACAAGAAATGACAGCCAGTGCAGTCACACAGTGGGGGCTAAAAGAAACTTTGTCGGGTTGGCAATTGTAATAAGTGACGCTCATAAATTACAAGAAAACATGCAGCCAAAAAAAAAAAAAAAAAGAACAAAGAAGAAAACAAAACAGAGACAAAGGAGGCAATGAGTTTAAACGTCTGTTAAAAAGATGTACACGCTTGCCATGCCATTACGGTAGAACGTACACAGCTTGTGTCCCAAGACATCTGAATGAGAGGGTTAGTGGACAAAGGCCGGTGGAGAATGGGTTAAAATGTAGATGAACTCCAGCCCTTGTATTCCCAGACACATCCTAGCCCAGTTAGTGTTAGATCTGCTACGCTTGCCCTGGCAATGTGAATTCACTCTGATTTTCCCTATTAGGCACCATTAAGCTAAGATAGGCATAACAACGAACATTAAAGGGAAATGTGTTTGCGCAACAGATTTCCATTACAGTGGCTTCTCATCCTTCTTCCTTTCTGATTTGGGAAAAAATCCTCTCCTCTCAGATTATAACCACAAGTCACAATGCTGGACACATATGCTCCTCAGCCCTGTACCCCATGCTATCTGTTAACTCCTGAGCACTTAAATGCTATCCCCTTCCTGTCCTCCCTGCTTTTCTACATGGCTGGCTCTAATTGGTATAGAACAATGGGAAACAGGCTATATTCTTTTTTGTGCTTGTCACTATTTATTTAATTTATTTAAAACTCCTACCTTCCATAAGGCTCTAGTCTCCATATGATTTATTTCTTCATGTCAGTTATGACTAAACATCAGCTTCTGAATTCAGAAGGCAATCCTAAATAGTTGCTATCATTGTGCTCCAGCCAAAATCAAAGTTCTGTAAGAAAAACTCAAGCCTGTTTTATTCAAAACTAATGTTCCTGAATATAAAAAGACATTAATTCCGTCCTGTGATCCCCACAGCACAATAAGCTCCCACAACGTTTGCTTTATTAGTTCTGTCCTTCAGAGAAGGAATCCAATTTGCACATTTAACAATGCAGTTGATAAATCTTTTCTTCCTCACGGAACTCTAACCTAGGCTTTTAATGAAAATTTGCAGTATTTCCCTGTCTTCATTCTCTCTAAGGCTTTGCAGCCCTGATGACCCTCCTTCAGACGTGAGTGCCCGCTCCTTGAAAAGAATAATAAACCTCAACAGAACTGCCTCCCAGGTACATCTGTTCACCTTTTTGCCTAAGGAAATCTCTGTACCATGGAGCAGGGTAGAGGACAGTGTCCTGCTCCCTAGCGAAAACTGGTGTGACAGAAGTGAGTAGGAGCCCACTGTACAGCTGATTACATTTCAGGGTTCAAAACACATTATTGCATTTGAACTCAGCGGTTGACTTAGCTCTCTCATATTCCTCAGCCTCACCACTGTTATTACGAGTGACTCTCCCCCACTTAACAAGATCAAAACATTTCAAATTCAACACTGATGTAACCTGGTATCAGGTCATTACAGCTTTAACTCAGATATGGACCTTCTCCGTTGTCATCAACTGTAGTGAGTTTTTTGCTCTACTTAAGGGACAGCACTTAACTTCTTTTGTTGAATGACCTCTGTTCTCTTTAGTCCCCAAAACATGCTCAGATGACCACGCAATCCATTTTACTTTATCACAAAACCAGATAACAATATTCCTGCCTCTGCCAACAAGCCGATGTCTTTTCCTAATGCCAGTCCTACAGTAGTACCAGCGACCGATCTGCCAAAGCAGGATTCACGCACACAAAGGACACCACGAATCACGGGATGATTTCAGTGACACCACCAAGATAAACTCTCCATTTGTCAGCCCAGAAGAACGAACAAACCAGCTCGTCCCCACCCCAAAAAGCCACTACCGACATCTAAAACCAAGCTACCAAAATAGAAACCATTCACACAAATGCTTCTCAACATATCCACATCTTCAGTTGGTGTGGTAAAGTAATGAATAGTGTGTTACCCTCCGTGTTGCCAACGTAAGGGGCCATGTTCTTCTGGAAGGAAACAGAGATGCTCTTGGGACTAACGACAGCTCTCCAACCTCACGAGGACAGGTTGAGAGGCGCGAGCACAGCAGCAGGACAGTAAGGATGATTAACACGACTGAGATGGCCGTTAAAGGTGCAGACTTCCCTTCTAAGCTCACTGCTGACCCATTTGACAGGCAGAGCCGTAACAGTGCTCGCACACAAACTCCCCTGTCCACAGGTAATGGGGAACAGCTAGACCTGAACTCCAGCACTGACAGGGCAATTTTAAATATATATTCATGGTGTTCACCTGCAAGCTTTCTAAGGTGTCATTGGAGAATTGGAAACGCTTTGTAAAAATAAAGAGAATTACTGTAAAGCATCCACAGAGAACTATATTCCACAGGACTTAGCATAATTAGTTTTATTAGCGAATGTTAAAGAACACAGCTTGATATTAAGTCTTTTGTGGTAACAGCACTGTGAGATGAATGGAAAAACAGATGTCTGTTTTATATAAGCCTCCAGACTAATGCTTGTAACAGGCTACAGTTAATGCCTCGTGGATAATCTTTCTCGTGCCTTTCAAGCAATTGCTAAACAAGGGGAAAACCCTGAGGCTAACCAGCCAGACCCCTATTTCACTTGCTACAGCTTTTTCTTTCCCATTCCCCTTAGCCTCCTCAAAGTTATTGGCAATCAAAGCTGAAAACTGAAGGTGGGTTGCTACACCTTTGACTTGCAGGCCTGAATATCAATGAGCCACAAGAGACAGAGATGGAGAGAGCAACAAAAGGTGAGGGGAAGAGACAGAGGAGGTTGGAAACGGCTCGTTTCCCGGCACACACACTGACAGACAGGTAGTGTTAACACTGTACCTAGAGAGGCTGCCCTCAGTGGCCAGGCTCGGGGAGTCATCGAGGACATTAGGTTCACTGCAGGAGGGGCAGGGAGATTAAGAATTT